ATAGAGATAATTTCTTTTACAAGCCTTTTTTGTAGCACCTTGTCAAATTCTTTCTGAAAATCCAGATACATGAAACCTTTACCCTAATCTACATAAGCAGTAATGGTTTCAAAGAATGTCAAAAGATTTGTAAGGCACTATTTTCCCTTTATGAAACCATGTTGACAATCCAATAAAAATTTATAAAGCTAAGTATATGTTTGGTAAATGAAAACAGACTAGTGTGAATGTTAACTTGTCAGGACAGTGTATTATTTTTACATGCTTAAGCATACATTTGAAAACTAATATGCTAACAAAAAAAGATTGAAAATCATATTTCATGGCTGTTACAGTTTATTAAAAAATGTTTTATGTACTCAAATACTGAGCTAAGTTTTTCCTACCTCAGTTACTTGAAGATTTTTTAAAATTAATCATTTCATTAAATCCATATTAAAATACCAGCCTCACTTAAATATTTTCTTTTTCTATAATATATATATACATATTTTTTTCCCAACATGGTTTTTCTATGCTTGAAAGTCAGAGTTACAATAACTTGTGAGATTTTATCTAGTTTAGCTACAGGTACACATCCAAAAAGGAGATAAATCAAAAACAGCTGTCTAAGAAAACTTGCAAATGTATTAAGAGTACAAAACAATTGAGGGTGCTGAGGTTTATTCAAATAACATAACTTCAGCATCCTCACATAGCATAACCTATGAACAATAAGGAACCATTTGGCCTATCAAGGTCATCCTTGTACATCCACCCTTGGGACAAGTAATTGAAGCCTAATCTGTCTTTCTTAAATTTTATACATGTTGTCTCAACGGTGCTACTATAGCGTGAGGTCTACCGCCATATGTTGCCTACCCAGGTCTATCAAACATGTATAAAAATGTATCAAATTAAGTGTTTATCGCTAAAATAAATGTATGGAAATGTGTGATATCCATGAGGGATGGATAATGCAGCGGTAGACCTCACGCTATAGTACTAATGGGAGGTAGACCTCATGCTATAGTACTAACGGGAGGTAGACCTCACGCTATAGTAGCACCGTCTCAACTTATTACCTTCAGGATACAGCTAAAAAAAATTATTTTATTCTATCAATGACCTGGATAATCTTATAAACTCTAACAAGATCAGCTCTTATCGTTATTTTCTCAAGAGAAAATAAGTTGACAGATTTCATTGTATTCCTGTAAAATAATCCTTCCATTCATGGAATCATCCTAGAAGCCATCCTCTGAACCCTTTTCAGTAAGTAAGTATCCTTTCTCAGATAAAGAGACCAAAACTATACACATTATTTCAAGAAACAAAAAAAAAATCTAAGGACAAAAGGAATTATTATAGTCTCTTTGTTCAGAATTTAATATTTCAGTTGAAAGGATTTTGTGCTGAGATTTTAAAGCAAACCTATTATTCTGGTGTGTTTTTTTACCAATGTAGAAAAAATTCTTAAGATGAACAGTTACTTTAAAAGTAGAGAGGATAAAAAAAATCATAAATAAGTCTGGCAAAGTGTGGGGGAGTTAACTATAAGTTTTCAAGTCATTTGCTATGAAAAGTAATTTATAAAAGCATGTGAAAAGCTTGTATTTAATTGAAGATTCTCTCTATTATTTTAGGAAGAACATTTTTCTGACTTTCTTCTTTTTGTACAGGACATCTACTGTTCTTGACCAGGAACCATTGATACAATATCTCTCAAGTGTTTTGATTAGTAAATTGAATACTTACGAAATGTGTAGAAAACTTAGAAAGTAAACAGAAAACTAATATAATGTTTAAAAGTAAAGAGAGATGATGAATGAGTTTTTTTTTTTTCTTTTATGATTCTGTATAACAGGGAAGGTCAATCCTAATTGGCTTACTAAAGACATGATGAAGAAAACAGTGATAAACATCATAAGTTTAAGTAGTTTAAATTGACAGAGAGTATGGAGGATTTATAGAAGTATAGAAAAAGTAGGGATTTGCTTAAACAAATATTAAGAAATCAAAGAGGGTTTTTGAGAAACAGTTTGCTGATAAGGATTAAACTAAGTAAGAGTAAGGATTTTTAAATATGTTAAAGGTAAGCAAAATATGTGGATTGGATCCTTAAGGGATACTGATGGCAAGGTTTTGGTTGAAGACTATAAGATCGCCGAAATTTAAAAAAAGTTATCTTTTGTTTTTCCAAAGAAGATATTAGTAATATTTCTGACCATTAATAATGGAGTTGACTTGAATCATGTAGATATTAAACCCCTGGTGGTAAGGAGAAAGACTGAGAGAACGAAAAAAAAAAAAGATGAAGCACAAGAATTATGCAGACAAGGTTTTCCTCAGTGTTTTAAAGGAAATCAAAGAACAGATACATGAGCCTCTCATTTTTAACTTTTGTAGGTCAAGAGAGTAGACAGATGTTTAAGGATTGGATTTGCTAATTTCAATCCTATTTCTAAATTGGGTGATAAAAAAGTTGCTCTGGATAATTATAGGCCCTACTTCTGTAGTGTGAGAAATTCAGTAATAAAAGAAACTTTACCAAATCTTTTAGTGAAATATGATGCCATGAAAGAAAGCCAAAATGGATACAATAAAGGGAACTATTGTGTAACTACTTTGGTAACTTTTCAAGAATGTCACTTGTTAGCTGAACAATGGAAAGTGGTTTGTACTTGGTTTTGTTTTCAAAACGTTTTTGATAAAGTGCCACACAGAAGGTTGGCTAAAATAATCACATCATTAGGGGTCGAGGAAAACTACCTAATTGGATTATAGGGTGGTTAGATGAGAGGAAGCAAAAGGTAATTATTAATGGAGTCCAGTCTTACTGAATCCTGGTCATGAGTTAAGTGACTCAAGGGTTAGTGCTTAGGCCTTTGTTTTTTCTCATATACATAATGATTATTGTTAATGGCATAATTAGAAAATTACCAGTTTGCTTATGGCATTAAATTCTTGAGTATTTATAGGATGTTTATGTACTACAGAATGACTTGGATCAAATGGAAAGTTTGGCAAATGTGTAGAAAAAGTGTAAGCTAATGTATTTGGGTTATCATAATTTGGATCACTTGTTTAACGTGGCTTAGAGCTATGGATTACCTATAAGCAGAAATTACATTGATTACTGTCAGGTAAACTAATTGATTAATTAAAATTAATCTGATTGATAAGAAAATAATTAACTAATTGAAATTAGAGTTTCCAGTTACTCCAGCTTATCCAAGTGGTTGAAATATTGTTATGTTTGTTGTTAAGCAGAAAGATACACAGTGGTTTGTTTTTGCTCTGCCCATTTTAGCCTTATAATTTGTATTTGTTTTTACTTCAAGTTTGTTCGCCTTTGGTGATTCAGAGGTGCTACCTATTGCCATTAAACTTGCTCACCCTGTCTTTGTTATGGTAAAACTACTAATGCTGTCAGCCACTTTGACTAATTTTGAACTGCTGACTAGAGGGAAGGCAACTAAATGGCAGCACCTGCTACCAACTTTTTTTGTTCCTTTTCTTTTTTAAATTGCTGACTAGAGTAAAGGCAACTGGCTGGTAGCACTTAATACTAACATTTTATTTTATTTCTGGACTGCTCTCTTTGGAAGGCAGCACCCAATGCCAGCATTTGTTGTTTCTCCAATTATTTGGTGAAAGATAGGGTGAGTTTAAATTTGTACTTTTTTCAGAGGTAGGTGTGCAAGAACATCCTTGAAAGACCAAATATACTTTTGTTGTATCTATGCTAAATTATTAAGAGAATGTAACTATTGAGTTCTCTTCTGGATTTGTTTTGAGTTCTTTGTTGTTCATTATTTTTTGCCATTCCAAGGTTTTTGGAAAAGATTATAATTGATTTTCTTAGCATGCTTCTCTTATTCAGAAGGACTTCAACAATCTTGATGATATTGGCCTAGAAAGTGCAAAACAAGTTTTATTATTAATATAAAAAAAAAAATTAAAGTGTTATAAGCTTGGCGTAAAGGAATTTGGAAAGGATGTTCTTTTTTGAGAAAAGCATTATATGATGTATCAGACTTAAACTCAGATCCCTTAGCTTACACTAATGCTGTGAGGCCCAAGCAGAAAGTTAGAGCTCTCAAATTGCAATCTCCAAGTCATGGGATCAAACCTCATCACAGATCTTTCAGCTGCAGGGACATTATAATGTTACAGTCAATCCCACTATTTGTTGGCAGAGAGTTGCCCAAGAGTTGGTGGTGGGGACTATCTATCTTTGTAGTCTGTCACTTCAGAATTAGGGACAGCTGGTGCAGATAGCCCTCAAGTAGAGGTTGTGTTAACACACACACAAGATTTGACTTTTAGTGCACAACACAATCCAGTATATTTAAACCAGATTTTTTTTTATCGGATCAGGTGTTTGTGAAATATATCAAATGATAAAAGTAAGAGCTCTCATTTAATTGCTATCCTTGATACAAGATGGAAAAGGTTATGTAATTTGTTAAAAACTCAAAATGTTTTATAACAATTTCTATTATGAGGTATTTACAATTGTTACATTTTTTAAATAAAAAATTGTTCAAGAAAAGATATCGACTTTGGAAGCTCCAACGAGGGATACCGTTATGATTTTTTGGTGTGGAAGAGATGCCTTAAAAGGACAAGTTAAAGTCTCTAAACTTTTTTTTTTTGAAGAAAAGAAATATGAAGTGTATAAGATTATCTGGGGATCAATAGGATTAAGTTCATAAGTTTGTTTGTACTGAATTCTGAAGACAATAGGATGAGAGGACAGAATAAGTAATGAAAGTACTTTGGGGGTACAAAGTTATTGATAACATTTCAAGAAGTTTTATTAAAATATGTCAACATATAACACATGTTGATAACTGTTTAATATTAAAAAAGTATGGTAAATAATTTTTCACTTATGCCATTAACTTTTTTTTTTTCAGGGTTCGGGTGAAAATGATCCTCGTCTGGTGGCTGCCAGTAAAACAAAGTCTAAAGAAATGATTATTGCTGCTTATGAATGGGGTCAAAGACACTTTGGGGAAAACTATGTGAGATTTTCAACAGACAATAGCTAATTAATTCTTGTGCATTAGGAAATTATATACCTGAAACGATAAATATATGAGAACTGAAATATTAAGTTTTTTTTTTTTTTGTACTTGATGTTTCTTTTTTTTTTCCCATAAGTAAACTAAATGAATGTATGTTGATTTAACTAATATTTAGCTACATAAGTTAGCATCTTTTAATTGTTAGTTTTGTCAAATGTTATGTCATTTAATTGGAGTTAATTTCAAGTTGAATCGTATAACTTTAAGTCCTTTTTTACCATTGATTTGTGTTGAGCTGTAGGACCTAAAATCACTCTTCATTGTATAACATTAATTCATTTTAAATGTTTACTGTTAACTATAGATTAAATTTTGTATTGTTAAGCCATTCTTCACTGCTGATTTAGGTTGACTTGTGGCCTAAAGTCACTCTTGTCGTTGACCGTAGGTTGAGCATTATGGCAATATATTCTAGTTCATCGTTATAAAGGTTGATTTACACAGCCTTTAGACACACATGCTTATCTTTGGATTTAATTTGGCTGTACAGCCTCAAATCATTCTTTACTGTTAATTCTATGTTGAATGTACCATTTCCAAGTTCTTCACTGTTGATTTTAGTTTGAGCTGTACATAACTTAATGTCATTCATAAATATCTATTAAATAATATGAAAAGTATTAAATAACCTAAAATATTTTACTTGATATCACGTTTCTCAACACATCTTTTAAAATTGTGCACTTGTAAAGAAAAAACTATTATGTCTCCATTATAAGTTTTTCACAGTCTCTGTGAAAGTTTTTAAACACTTCTTGTCCTATGTAAGTCATTGAATTGTTGTAAAGAGGATGTTCTGTAATTTATA